CCCACAAAAGACTGTGGGGACAGGGGGCAGGCTAAGGCTTTACAGCCACCTGTTACTAGGCCAGACCACCTAAATACTAGAAAAGCAAATATATAAATAACTAGGGCTTCCTAAAGCAGTGCTCCCATAATATCGTTTATTCACTTTTATATTTGGATATAGCAAGAATAGTGTTAATACAATGAATCTCTAAGACTAAAAATATATATCTCCAGAACCAGACTCAGATATGGGATCAATTAGTGGCAGATAAGTACCTGCTCAACTCTGATAGATTTTGGCATTTCAGAGAGTCACTGAAAAACTTAGGACTAATTTCCATATGCTAATACAAAAAGATGGCAGGAGGTACCATATTCTCTGTCCCAGTTGACAAAATATATTAGTCAGGATCATGGGTACAAATGTTTATGCCTTTTTTATTAAGAGATTTACAAATATGGGGGAAATTTAAGAAAATAACATAGGTATGTTGGAGCCTAATTATAGTAAAAAAATATACAAATAACAAATATACATATTAAAATGCTCAGTTACATTAGGTAGAAATGTATCATCACTCAGCAAAAATATTTAACCAAATAAAAAGTGAAACATCTTCACTTTTTAAAAAATAATTCTACTATAACTCCTCCTTATATTATACCTTTCAACCTCATTTTTATTCCTTACCCTCAGCTTTACTCATCTTCCATGGATTTGGACTTCAAGGGTCTACTCTTAAAACTACAGCTTTTAGGGACAGGTGAAATTTGGGGTCCAGTAACAACAATACAGTATTTAGAAAACACCAACCACCAATTCCCTGGGTACTGATCTCATTGCTCTCCCTCCCCATAGAAAGCTCTAGGCTACACGGAAGGCAATCCAGCCTACTGGTTACTAAGAGACTGTGGATTAAGCAACCTGCTTTCCATTTTGGCTCCATCACTACTAGTCTCAGGACCTCAAAGCCAATTAGTTACCATCTCAGTGCCTCAGTTTCCCCACAGGTAAAATGAGTACAAAATGCTACCTACCTCTCAGGGGTTGTTGTGAAGAGTAAATGAGCCTACTTATAAAGCACTTAGTGTCTGGCACATAAGAAGGCCTAATAAAGGTTAGCTACAGGTGGCTATACATAAGGCTTCATAGAGGGTGATAATTGCTTATTACTGGATTTACAAGACAGTTACCAACCGAGTGGCCAGTTGCCATCTGTTAAACATACAGTGGCCTAATAAAATGTAATCAGTGAGTATCTGAGCACTTAGTGTAGCACTCTCTGTGAAGACTGTCCAGTAGAGCAGGTAGTCTGGAACTCAAGTTCCAGATGAAACTCAAACCACAAAGCAGTAAGAAGGGGGGTCCAAGAGTAAAAAGCGAAACCAAATGCTTCTGGGGTAATAAAAGCATAAGGCCCCAAGAGGAAGCTAGATTTGCAGTAAACCCAATTAGCACAGTTTTGTGACTTCTTCACCAAACCAGTGGCAGAGAAGCCCAATTAGCAGAGCTTACCCAAGGCTGGGAACTGACCTGAGAAAAGTGATCCAGGTAGGAGTCCGGGTAAGCATCCAGACCACGCGAAGTCAGACTAACAATGACAGAGAACTGAGGGAGATTAGAGGATTGACCAACAAGGATAAAACCAGAGCACAAACATAGAAGCATCACCTGGGGAGCTTTTGTAAATGCACAAATTCATGTTCCAGAGACCCTCTAGATCAGAGGTGGAGCCCAGATGACTCTATTTTTCAAGTTCACTGGTGATTCTGATATATCCCTCACACTAGCACAAAGTAGGAGCCCAACAGCGGGAATAAACAGAGTAAGTGATTAAAAGCTGAGTAAGTCAGGGAGAAACTTCAAAGTCTGAGATCACAGACATGAAACAAGTTTAAGTGAAAAGTTCAAGGTGCATAAAGGTCACTGGAATTTGGGGGGCAGTGGAGTGCTACAAAATGACAAGGCCAGCAACAAGGTTAAAGGGGAAATTGCATCATGTGCAATTTCTCATTTAAAGGGTTAGAACAATGGTTCTCAAACCTGCCTGAACGTTGGGATCCCCTAAGGAGTTCTTAAAATCTGACACCCAGGTCACATCTCAAATTCTGGAAATGAGATCCAGGCTTCAGTATGGTTTAAAGCAACCCCATGACTCCAATATGTACCCAAGGTAGAGAAACATGAGCTAGAGAGGCTCCAGGAAAGCAGCAGGCTACTGGAATGAGGAAAGACATAAAGCAATCTAACTCAGTGCTCTCAAACCCTAGGATGTATCAAAATCAACTGGAAAGCAAGCTGTGTTCTACAGGATCACCAAATTCCCCAGGAAACTCTGATACACACAAAAGTTCGAGAACCATCGATCTAAGTGACTGGCAATAACTCCAAAAGAGAAACTGAGAACGATGAGCAACCCCAAAGCAATAACTAAGAAGAACATTTCTACCCCTCTCAGCCTGAAGAGGCTATAATGAACATAGAAGGCCATACTAAACATTACCTGAATCAATAAGCCAGTCAAAGATCTAGCAGTAAAACTAGGGCACCACACGTGCACCTGGGTGGCTCAGTTGGTTGGGCCACTGCCTTTGGCTCAGGTTACAATCCTGGAGTCCCAGGATAGAGTCCCTCATTGGGCTCCCTGCTCTGCAAGGAGCCCGTTTTTCTTCCTCTGACCCTACCTCCCTCTCATGCTCTCTCTCATCTTCTCTCTCTCTCTCTCTCTCTCTCTCTGAAATAAATAAAATCTAAACAACAACAACAACTAGGGCACCAGAGACTAAACATATATGATACTTATGACCCAGCCATCCTTCACTTCAGAAGGCATCTCCCAAAACATTCAGGTCTGGCTCAGTCTATGGTTCATACAACTCTTGACATCAGGGTCACGAGTTCAAGCCCCATGTTGGGAGAGGAGCCTACTTAAATAAACTCAGATCTGGCTTCTTGGTGGACAATATAAGAAAGCGTGCATTGCCACCTGCCTTTCAGAATTAAAGACTTAAGTCTTTAAGAATCTAGAAGCGTTACAGACACAAACATAGACAGACACACACACACATACACACACACACACACACACACCAATAAGCAGAGTATAACTCAGAAATTCTCATTACCATGTAGAAAGAAACCCCAAGGCATATTTAAGTTATATTTGGAAGATCTGAACCATGTTATTTCTCATAATGGCCAAATGGGTAACTTAAGAGAGGTAAGTTTATGTAACTTTTACTACTCGATGTTGCACTTTTCTCCCAAAATATCATGACTAAGCCTAACCACATGAAATACCATTAGAAGAAAAACAAAGAAAAATTAGGAAATGCTTCACCTAGCGACACAATGATACAGTACTTATGACTAGTTCCAGCTTGGTGTTAAGTATTCCATTTAGAATGTTACATTTTATCTGATAAGATTCAAGAGAATATATTCCCTTGCATATGACCAACTCATCATCCCATCAGAAATCTCTATAGCAGCACCAGAATTTTCATTTTCAAGATACATGAGCTTTTGTCAAATGGTGACATCTCTCCAGTAATATGAATTTTCAATATGATATAAAAAATGATGGATATATTACACATTTCACAGAGCACAGAGAACAGAAGCCTGTCAATGAATTTAAAATTTGTGACAACCCATTTGAAATTTTACACTAAAAGACCTGTACACTTTCATAAACCATATAAATGTAAAACAGATACCAATGTTTTCACTTGCAACAAGGAATAAAATATTCCTTCCTAACAAAGTTTAACTGTTGCCTTAGTGCATTTTAATTACATATTTTCATCAGCATTACAGCTGTAAAAATGCGACACATTATACAGCCTTCAGAGTGCAACCGATAACTTAAAATCCTTGTAATATACTTTAAAACAAGGCCACCGGAGTTGCCCCCCCACCACCACGACCCCCATGTGAACTTGGGCACAAATCACCAAATGTACGAATGTGCAGGGCTTATTGCAAAATGCAAGTCACTGCATTAAAAAAAGGAAAATAATAAACACCATCTGCATTTTAAGTCAGCCCTAAGTGATTTAGATTTCTTCATCTGAACCTGGCTTCTTTAGCAATCTACAGATCCCATTTTACAAAATGACTTAATAAACGCTTTTCTACCGAAGTCAGTCATTAGGCCAAAAAAAAAAAAAAAAGCGTGCGCGCACATACACAGAGAGAGAGAGAGAGAGAAATGAAAATTTTCCTAGTAATGGAGGAGTTAACCAGAAATACGGCGATTTGTTTTCACGCTGCAAAACCTGAAAGCAGGTGTTAGGAGAGCCTCGGAGAGTGGGCGGGGAGGAGCCAGGTTGAGATAACGTTAGGTCAGCAAGAACAAGAGACCCGTGAGCGAGTGCTTGCACTACCCGGGGCCAGTTGTGAGTTCCTACCTTGCAGACGTGAACACAACCCAACTGTTACACGTCCCTTCACATCCCTCGCCGCCACTGGACACCGCGCACGGCTAATTGAAGTTTAGAGCGCCGGCTCCTTCCAGGGGCAGTAGTACTCCCCACCACCACCCCACGCCGCTAAGGAACACCCAAGCCAGCTTTGCTCCAGCTGCCAGCAACAGCAGGGCTACGCTAACCCGAGTTAAAGACCTTCCCCGGAGGAGGCACCTACTCCTGCCTGCATTTTTGTTATCTGCTTCCAGCTTCACCCTTTCCAGACCAGCCAACTTCAGCGGAGAAGGATGCTACGCGCCAACGGGTTTTTAACAGGACCCGGACCGAGGGGAGGAAGCTCCCCGTGCAGCGGTCCTCAGCGCCGCAGCCGCGAGCTAGGCTCCCGGTTAGAGACCCCCGCCCCGCCCCGCTGCGCTCTCACCGGCAGCCCAGGAAGGGGGCAAAGCCACCCGCACCCAAAGTTTTGCTCGCGGCTGTCTGCACCCCCTTCCCCCGTCCCGGGCTCGAGCAGCCGGTCGTGCTCCGGGATCGCGACCCGGGCAGGACCGCACGGAGGCTCCCACCACGCGCCCCCCAGGTCCCGCGGAGATGCCCGCCCGCCGCCCGCGGAGAGCGCCGGGCTCCGACCAGCGGCCGGCTCCCAACTTGGGCGGCTGGGGCCGTACGGCTCCGCTCCCGCCGGCGACAGAGCCCCGCAGGGCGCGTCTGACGGGCGAGCGCTCCCGCGGCCGCCCGGCCCGCTGCGTCAAGCCCCGCCGCCCGCCTCGCGGCCCCGACGGCTCAGGCTCTCCCCGGCCCCGCGCCCCTGCCCCGACCCCGGCTCCGGCCCCGCGCCCCGGCCCCGCGCCTACCTTGAGCCAGCGCCCGGAGCAAGTGCAGCTGCAGCGCCAGGAGCGCCCACCATCCGCGCCTCCGGCCCGCGCTCAACTTTGTCGCCGGCCGCCCGCCGCGCTCCCCCGCGTCCCGGCTGGGGCTCTCGGGCGCCGCGCGGGCTCCGCGGGGCCGCCGCCGCCGCTCGGGGCCGGGCGAGGACCCCCGCGGCCGCCCCGGGCCCGCCGCGCCGCCGCCGCCCCGGGCCATGCTGAGGAGGAGCCGCCGCCGCCCGCGCCCGGCCTCGGGCCCCGCGAGCGGGACGGGCGGGCGGTGGCCGCCGGCTGAGCGGCCAGGTGCGGGGGCCGGGGGGCGGCGGAGGGACGCGGCGGAGGAGAAGTTGTCAGCGGGCGAAATTCTTGTTCACGCCGCCCACAGCGCCCCCGCAGCCGGAGCGCCCCGGCCGCGCCGCGTCTCCCGGAGGGTCCGGCGGGCGCTGAGGAGGAGGAGACGTCGCCGCCGCCGCCGCCCCCGCCCGGCGCTGAGGAGAAAGTGCGCCCGCCCGCGCGCCGGCGCTCGCCCTCCGCCGCCGCCGCGCCCCATTCACAGCCCGGCCGCACGCGCCGCCCGCCCGCGCCCGCCGCAGCCGCTGATTGGCCGCAGGGAGGCGGCTCGCGGGCCTCGCGCCCCGCCCCCACGCCCTCGCTGATTTTCAAACTCGGCGCGCCCGCCCGCCTGGAATTTCGCGCCGGGCCTCCGGCTCGCCTCGGCGGCTTTCCGCGCCGGCTGCGCCCCCTAGGGACGCGCGGAGCGTACTGCAGGCCGCCGCTGTCTCGGCAAGCGCTGGGCGGACTGCTCGGGCGGGGGCTGAGCGGGCCGCACGGGTGGGGGCGGGGGCGGGGGCGGGGGCGGCGCGGGCCTCGCCCGACTTGGGGCGTGAGGTCTCGCAGGTGGGCTGGCGCACGTGCCGCAGAGGAGCAAGTGGGCCAGGCGGCGGAGCCTCTGGCGGGTGCAGGTGGGCGCGCCCCTCCGGGAGCCTCCAGCCCGCCCTCCTCTAGCCGGCCCTCCGCTCCCCGCCCCTGCCCCGGGATCCGCCCGCTCCGGCCCCAGGGTGGGTGTTCGAGCGGTTAAGCGCCAAGTTACTGGGATTGCAAAAGAGAAACAAGCGCGATCGGATTTCCAATTCTTAGCAACAAAAGACACCACTGGGTGTAGACCCGCCGCCTGTTGCCAGCAGTGGACGCTGGCTTTGGAGAGGCGTCCAAGGTCATGTATGGCCTGCGGGAACCACAGCGCCAGGCGCTTGCCGCCAAGGTGGGGAGCCGGTCTCTGGGAAGTGTCTCCTAGGGCAAGGGGCCCTTGGAGGAAGGATCTCTTAGGGAGAAGGTGTCTTAGGGGAAGGGTCCCTTAGGGGCAGGGTCTGCTAGCGGGAAGGGTGCCCTCGGGTGAAGTTCTTATAGCGGGGAAGGGCGCCTTGGAAGCAAGGGTCTCCTAGCCCCAGGCCAGGGGAGCCCCGAGCAGGGGCGTGGGGCGGGGCTCTGAAGCTCAGTCGCATGTGGTAAGCATTAGCAGGGTTTATGGGGTGAACTAAGAGCTGCGGAGCCTGGGAGGCCAGTGTTTTTGTGGGAGGAGGCCTGGAAGGTGACACACAGTCTGATGCTGTTGGCAGTTGGCCTGGAGGAGCCTGGGGGCATGTGATGATTGAGATCATGGAAGTGGTGATGCCAGCGGGACAGGGCATGCGCCTGGCTTGGTGCTGGATCTCCAAGAAGCACTGGGTGCAGGTTCCCTGTGATTGTCCATTCGTTGCTCCAGGCGAGGGAGAGAAGAGCCGGGTCTCGGTCTTCCAGGTTCATGCGAGGGAACTAGCTCCCGCTGCCAGAGCACCTATCGAGCACTACCCAACCCTTATTAAGTCTCAGCAATGACCATGTGAAGGAAAGATGGGGAAACTGAGGCCTGAGAACCATAGCCAACTGGTGGAGATGGATTCTGACCAAGATCTGTTCCCAGGGCTTTGCGCCTTCCCAAGGCATGCAAGGAGGGCCAGAAAAGTGAGAAGCAGCCCAAAAGGTGGCTGTTCTCTGAGAACATAAGGAAGCACTAGTGGGCACTGCCAGATACAGCACAGATGCGCCTTGAGGCATGTCGTCCCTGAGGACAGGTGGATGAGACTGGGAGGGGGGCGTGTCCACTTTTATTTTCCATTGCAACAGCCCTGGGTCCTTTCTAACCTCAGGGCCTATATGAGAGCCTACCAGAGAAATAATACCTACTGTGCGCTGAGCCCGTACTGTGGGCCATCCCTGGGCGGGAACATCATGACACTAATCCCCACCACCCCCCTGTGTGAGAGGTGCTGTCCCTAGTGCAGTTGGGGACACTAAGGCTTAAGAGGTGAAGCTGCTTTGCTCAGAAATGGGGGGGGGGTGAGGGTTATGAGTGGAGCTGAGGGCTTTGAGGTCCTAGTCTTTCTAGTTGTGAAATCTAGGCAAATTGCGAACTCTAAGTTCCAGTAAAAAGTTAGAAATAATTCCCATCTCACGGGGTTGTCGCAAGGGAATGAGATAATTCACACTCAATAAAATGCTAGTTTCCTGTTCCTCCTACCAACTTGGCAGTGCTGTCCCAAACTACCCTTGCTCTGCCCACCAGTGGAGTCTGGTCCATATTTAACCTTTTCCTTTCAAATAGAAACATATGCCCATTATTTTCCTTGCAAGTAGCAAGCTGTGCCCATAGACCCCTACAGCATAGGCATGAATATGGCACAGGCGACTTCTTGAGTTCAGGACACTCAAAAAATATCCAGAGCCTCTTTTGCTACAATTTACTTTGCAGTTCAGAGACAGTTTTGTGGAAACTGGTTTGGAAATTGGAAAGCCTAAGCCAGTATACCATAGGTAGTAAGAGGAACATTGATTTCTCTGCTACTCCAAAAGGTCCTCCGATTTTTTATTTCTGTATCATCCTGGGTCAGTGAGGCTCTAACATTGCCTCATTTTACAGCTGAAGGCTCGGAAGCTACAGAAGTTTAACATACACAAAGTAACCATGTTAAAGCTAGAGTAGGAATCTAGCTCTCCTGAGTGCTATTCTAAGATTTTTTTTTTTTCCCCACCAGACTATGTTGCCTTTTACATGACTCATTAGATTACTGTCTTTGGGGATGTGTTTAGACTATGGCTATTCTTTCTGAAAAAAAGTAATACACAGAAACCTCTTCATAATGCTCAGAAGAGGACTAGTCAGCACAGAGCTAGAATATTTCTGCCTAAAACAGCCAATTAATCTCCCCATTTAATTTTTTCCGGCCCAAAAAGGTCTCAAGAAGAGAACACTTCATCCTTGTATACTTACCTTTAAAAATCTATAGACACAAATATAAAAAAATTAATAAAATTAAAATCTTTAGCCACGTATTCTAAAAGACCATGAGATGGAGGGATTTTACTGCTTAAGAGCTGACTTACTTTTCTTTTTAAAAATGAGTTGCAGGTATCTCCTGCTTTCCAGAGCAAAAAGTTAGGATTTCCCCTGTTTAATTAAAAAGAGAGAAAGAAAGGAGTATTCGAACACATGATCATTTTAGTGGAGTTGGAACTGTAACTGAGGCCACCAGTGTCTTCCCCATTGCCATAACCTAAGGCCTTGCTACTCTAGGTGTGGTCCACTTGCCATCAGCCTTACCTGGGAGCTGATTCAAAACACAACATCTCAGGCCCTTGCAGGACCTGCTGAATCAGAATCTACATTTTAATGAGGTCTCCAAGTAAATTACAATTTGAGAATTACTCCATATCTCCTAAAAACATCTCTCTTTCCTGTTCTCTTACTCTCTTTTTCTTTTGTTTCATTCTGTCTCTTTTTTCCTTAGAGGAAAAAAAGAAAGAATTTTGATTTTATTTTTTATTTTAAGAGGCAAATATGCAACTTCATATAAGACCAACAGACTCAACTGTATATAAATTAAAAACCAAGAACATCCATATAGCACTATAAAAAAAATGTTAAGAGAAACAAGCAACAAACTGGAGAAAGTATTTATCTACATATAAATAGCTTTTGTAAATCAATAAGAAAAATAGATGAATAATCCCTACAGAGAGAGGGGCAAAGAACTAAACAGGCAAGTCAGGAAGAAATACAAAGGGAAAAAAATGTGTTTGATGAGTGCCCAAGGAAATTGATCCAACAAATGAAAAATTAAAGTAACAGAACTTATAAAAAATGTTAAAGCACTAATGAGTGCAAGTGTTGGTGAGGGCGTGTGGAAATGGACAGTCATACTACTGGTGGAAATATACATTCACAACCTTTCTGAAGAGAAACCTGCAATTCATAGCTAAACTTTAAATACACATTGTCTTTGATCTAGCAATTCTGTCTCACAAACGCACAGAGCTGTAGGTCCGAGGTTGTCCATTGCAGGGTTGCCAATAAGAGCAGGAAACAGAAAGCAATCTAAATGCCCATCCAGGGGCGCCTGGGTGGCTCAGTGGGTTAAAAGCCTCTGCCTTTGGCTCAGGTCATGATCCCAGGGTCCTGGGATCGAGCCCCACATCGGGCTCTCTGCTCGGCGGGGAGCCTGCTTCCCTCTCCCTCTCTGCTTGTCTCTCTGCCTACTTGTGATCTCTGTCTGTCAAACAAATAAATAAAATCTTAAAAAAAAAATGCCCATCCAGGAAGGTTAAGTACGATATGGTACATCCGCACAGTAAAACCTCCTATGATTGTTAATGAAGTAGAGTTAGAAGTATGGATCCAGAAATGTCTACTGTATTCAGTTACGTTTTTTCTTATAAAATTATAGAGAAGTATACATAGAATAATTCCCTTTTATGTTAATTTTATTTTTTTTCTGCAAGGATGCCTGCCAAACTTTAATGCCCTTCAGGGGATATGGAATTGCATGCTTGTCTGTACTTCTTAAATTTTCAAATGTGCCTTGTATTTTATGATAAAAAACAAATAGAGCTTCTTTTTAAAAATCAAATGGTGAAAAGCCTAAGTCATTTCTTTACTCATAACTCATTAAGAAATGTCCCTTACCGGTTCTCAGTGGTTCTTCTGAGAAAAATATTCCCCAGTCCTATTAGAGGACAAGTTGCAGCATAAACTTGTCCCCAAGGGGATGGCGTGCCCTTCCACGTGCAAATCAAGGCAAGGGTCGTGGGGATTCCTTGCATCTGGTTTCCACAGTCTTCTCCTGATGGGAGGTCTACCCTCTCTCTTCATGCCTTGGTAGTTCATTCTAAACTCTCTGCCAGCTGCTAATCCCATCCCACTCTCACCTTTGTTTCATCGCTTGGCAACCGACTAAGGAGCCACCAGGTGCAGCTTTTGATCCCTAATGGGGCGTGGGTTTTGGTTACCTTAGAGCCCACTCAGCTTTCTGAGAACTTTTTAAGAAGCAAAACTCTCATGAAATATTCATATTAAGGAAGCCATGAAGAAGAGAAGTACCAGAAATGTACCAAGCCTCCAAAAACTTGTGCCAGCCCTCTCTAAGAATAACCATCCCTCACCTTGCAGACTGCTTTCAAGTGTATAAAGCCCAAGTTCATCCTGTGTGTCCCAGACCAGCAGCAGCAGCAGCAGTTGGTTAAAAGTCCAAATTCTGGGACATCACCCCAAAATACAGAAGCAGAAACTCCCAGCAGAATCTCTTGGGAGCAGAGACCAGCACGCCAGTTAAGAAGCCCACAAGGTGACTCTCATGCTTGCTGAGAACATTTGAGAACAATGGGTGGAAAGTAATTCTTTACCTTCTTAAGCTTCAACAACTATTTATTAATGTCCTGATTTGTGCCAGCCCCAGGGCTAGCTAGGCAAGAGGGAAATAAACAACTCCAGTAATCGGATGATAAGAAAAGCACGTGAGGGAACATCTGAGAAGGCTCTCACAGCCGTGGGGAATCGGGGAAAGTTTTCCAGGGAAGCAAAATCTAAACAAAAATTCCAAAGGATAAACAGGAGTTGAATCAACAGCCTGGAGAAGAAGGCAGGCTTCCAAGCAGAGGGAACGCCATGTGAGGAAGCTCAGAGTGGGAACTTGAACATGAGAATAACGGAGTCCCGCTGAAGGTTTTTAAACAGTGGAGTTTCATAATCAGATGTGATTTAGCAAC